CGGGAGAGTGGCTGTGCAGGAGGCCAGTGTTACAGGTCCTGCTGGGGAAGCCGTCCATGGCTCATGCAGATCCTGCTGGGGAAGCCGTCCATGGCTCATGCAGCCCACAGACTTTCCAGCCGTGTGCCACAAGCCCCAGGACGGGGCTGCTGCTGCTCTGCACCTCCTTGCAGAGCAGGCTCCTTGCAGCCTGGCAGCCTTCGGTGCTGCCCAGAGATGCTGCATGTTGCCTGAGAGCTGGTGTTCCCTGGGGTACTAGTGGTCGTACTCAGTAACAGGTTATTCTGAGACCTTTTTGCTCTTGGTCTCATGAAGTTGTCCCCTCAAGCAGCTTCTGGCTCTGTTTTATTTGGTGTAAATTTTGTGCATGGAAAAAAAAAAAAAACCTATGCAGAGTCTTGGGATTTGCTGATAATTGCTGACCTCACCACAACCAAAACCCCAAAAGGCGTCTTCTTCACCGCTGAGCTCCCTTCCCCACCTGTGCCTGGGGCTAAGTGGTTGATGCTTCTCCCACCCTGTGGCAGGGGACAGTGGTTGATATTCCTGAGAAAGAGACACCTTTTTTATCAAACCTGGTCCATGTGGCTCGCCTTTTCCTGTGTTGGAAGGGCTGGCTGTGGAGCCAGCCCGCCTGGGGAACCTAGGGGAGAAAAGATTCAGTAGCTCATATAGGAGCCAGAAAGGAGAGCAGGGATGGGATCCCTATGGAGCTGGTATGGGGATAGCAGAATATATGGAAAAACTTGGCTATCAGAGCACTGAGAGGATGGGGTCGTGCAAGCCTGTGATGGCAGGTGTGGCTGAAGGCAGCCTGTCGTGTCTGAATGGGGTGGGAGATGCAGCGTGGCTGGAGAAGCGGTCTGGGTCCTGGCAGAAGCAGTTCACGGAGAGGGGCCCGGGAAGTGTAATGAGGGGAGAGAAGGACTGAGCAGCCTTGTGGCACAACATCAGTGTGCACAGCTAAGAAGGGCCAAGAGGCCTTGCTGTCTGCAGTATGCAGGAATCTACTTGAGGCTACTAGAGCAAAGCAGAATATCAGGAGCTGAATACCAAGAAGCTCCCTGTGGCCTGAGCAAAGCCAGTGCCTAATGGACAGTTCATGTTTTGGCCTAAGAATCGGCTTTTCTAGTTCTGGAGCTACCACTACCATAGAAGACGTGGGTGCTGGATATTTTGGTGTGTCTCTGGTAAGTGGAGTCCCTTGTTAGCTGATCCACCAGCTCTGAACGCACCGAAGTTAGGAGATGCGAAGTTTTCATCTTAAACCCTGATTTAACTTCCCAGCATTCCTAGATCCTGCCACTAAAGTTAGCTCTGTCCTGAGAGTAACAGCCTGCAGCCCCCTCTGAATGCCCAGGAGTTCCCTACAGCCCCTCGGGCTCTCTGTGCTCTAGGGTGTGCTCCTGCTTTGCTCCTGCTTCAGCAATACCTCTGCCTGGTGATGCTAGGCTGGAAGTGCAGCCTGCTTGGGGCTGAAGAGCACTGAGGGATCAGGTTAAAAGAAAATAACTCCCCAAAGCTCCGATTGCAGATTATGAGCACACCAGAGCTGCTGACTTCTTCCTCCTTCACAGAAGCAGATTGTAATGATAGCGTAAAGCTGCCTCTAAGTAGAGTTCATATCCTAGTGCGTGCAGCATTATTTCCTTTTCCTCCTACCCTGCAAATGCTGGGCTGCCTTCCATCCAGCCTGCTTACCCAACCTAACTGAGCACTGCAGTGTGTAGAACAGTCACAGACACTGCTTCTGATCCATCTCATTAGATGTAAATAGTTTTTTAAGAGAAACCTCCAGCTCCCAGACTTGTGCAAAGACTTTCAAAACGTAGGTCTTGTTGTTCTCCTCCCTGCAGCGCATGGATCTCCAGCTGCTCTGCTTATAGCTCTCCTGCTGGTGCATCCCAGCCCTGGGCAGCCTCGTTGTCCTTAGCCCTTCTGCTTTGCCAGCAGCAGCTCTCAACACCCACGTTATTTCATTTGTCTGCTCATCTTGCAAATGAGATGCAAGAGATGGGGAAATTCTTCACCATCCTATCTGAACTGCCGCGTGGTGCCGTTATGGGCCGTCAGCTGATTTCCTGGTAATACCCCTCACCATCAGGGGCTGGAACAAGAGTCTGTGTGCCACTTTCTAATAGCCCTGAAGATAAAAAGGAACCCTAATCAACTGGTAACCAAAACATAAACATGAAGCAAAAGTTGTTGAGGTAGACTTCCTCACGAGACTGTGGTGCAAAGAGGAAGGAAGCTGTATTAAGAGGTCCTCCTGCCCATAGCAGCAGCTCGGCCAGCAGCACACCAGCCTGAATGCTGGTGGAATATGCGGGGCAAAGGGAGCACCCGATCCATTTGTTTGGGACATGTTCTGGCAGGGCATCTAGCCTGCAATAACCATTGCCAAAAAGAGTTCGTTGCAGTTTGTCACTCCCAGGCAGTGTTCTCTGTTGTTTATTAACTTATATCATTTGTTTAGACAACTTCAAAGACCTTTGTTGATAATCTCTTTTACTGTGTTGCCCCACAAATGATGGGCAGAGGGACAAGAGTAGCACCTTGCGGAATCAAGGCTGGAAGCAGAGTGATTGGCAGAACACACTGTGAAGTTGAAAGAGCCTCGGTGGTAGGATAATTAAATGTGCTAGTGATCACTTAGCACTGGGCCTATTTGGATTGTTTGCTGTGGTGAAACTTGAGAAATTTATCTGAGAACATGGCTCTGGTGTTACTTTCAATTGAACAGGGCTTTAACTCCTCCGCTGCTGCTGTCCCACGGCAGCTCCTTCAGGAGAGCATGACTTTCCTTCTCCCCTCTTGGGCTGTGGTGCTGAGTACAGTCGTAGCACAGGGAAATTACAGAAACTATGAGCTGGCTTCCTTGCCCACCAGGCTCGAGGGGAACTGAGCCACGTGTTGCTCTCCCCAAAATGCAAGCTTGGCTTTGTAGTCTTCTCTAAAAGAGGTACAGCCCAATGGCTTACTCATGGCACAAGGACTAAGCAAAACCCCCTGTTTGCAGTCCAAAAAATAGCACCCATATGCTCTCTTAAAGCATATCCCAAACAGAAAATGGAAGCGTCTGCCTCTTCCCGTGGCATTCAAGGTTTAGGCCAGGATGTTCTAAAGGTCTTCTAGGGCTGCTGGCCAGCAAGTGAGTGCCTAAGAAAACATGATAAGAGAGGAAGGCAGAAATGTGTGCAGCTAATCTTAGTGCAGCGGTGAGTGACATGCCCGCACGCTCGTGACTGGAAGAGGAGCAGCCCTTTACAGCATGGAGCAGTTGCTGTGAGTGACTTTGGTAGCTTGTGTGCCCAGAGGCTGCCTTAGTCTGTAGTCCCCTAGCTCTGTAGCACTTGAAGAGCCAGAAATCTGTTTCTAGCAAGCTGTGAGTATCAGTGTTTCTTGAGTTGTCCTCAGATAAACTCTCTCTGTTTAGAGGCTGAAGTCAAGCAGTGGCTGGAGGAGTTAGAAGAGGAGTGTTTGCTCTAGAGCAGAGGAGCACAGGAATTAATTGGATCCAGTCTCTTACATTTAAACCTTTGCATGCCAAGCTGAGAATGCTTAAGCCAGTGCTGTAGCAGATTCTGTCTGTGGCACAGTACTTTACATGGGCAGCCCTAATGCCCTGGCACTCTCAAACTTTGCAAGTTGAGTAAGAAAAGCTTGAGGGTCATGTTGAAGCTCTTTCCTCCAGGAGAGGGAATTTCTCAGCAGGACAAATGGGAAGATTTTCCTAGCCCCCCTCCACTCCTGTTCTCTCTGCTAGCCTCTGCAACATCTTACATGCTCCACTTTTACTGGCCTTGTTTTTCTTCTTGTGAATTCATAAATCCACACTTTTCATTTGTAACCAATTCAGTGGAGCTGCTGCTTAGGCAGAGTGGTTGTCCCTGGAAAACCAGGAGGGCCAACGCAAGGGGATAAACGAGGGGGTAGTAAGCTGATTTTGGTAGTAAGTAAGGCAGTGAGGTAGCCCAGGTAGTAAAAGCTGACGTTTTTAAGCAATGCAAGAGTTATTTCTCTGCAGGATCATCCAGGGGGAGCTCAGCCTCTGCAGAGCTCGTAGTCCAGCAGATATTTCTGAGCACCTTCTCCAGGGGAAGTCTTGCTGTCCATGCTGAAGGCATTGAGCTCACATGCTTTTATTCCATCTGGCTCAGCACATGGTATTGTAGGAAAGGTTTTGCGCTTTTTAATGGAAATCTCCTCCCTGCCGCTCCAAGTCGAGCAATTATCCCTTTAACACTTCCAACTCCCTACATTCACTTTTTTTTTCCACCCAAAGCTCTCTGCAAAGAAGTAGTTGCAGGAACCAGCTGTCTTCCTAGTGCTGACAGGAGGCTGCGTTCGAACGCTGAGGTTTTTTCCATGCATTACAGTGCTTGGAACTGGGAAATTTGAAGAGGGCCGAGCTGATTTTTGAGAGCTTGGAAAATGAAGCTGTGCAAAAAGAGGGTTTAGGACTGCCCTGATCCTGCAGTGGTGAGCATGGGATCCGGAGGGAACTAGGAAGAGCATGTGATGCCTGTCCTGCTATCACAGCCCCTTTGACTAAGCTGTGAAAATAAACCTAAAAACTGCCAGAGGAAGAGGGAGAGCTTTGTTTGGCTCTGAACTCAGGATGAGAGGGTGCCTTGTGGCCTGGCTGCTCCTGTGGTGCTGTTAACCAGTGTGTTGTACACCGGAGGCCAGTCCCTGTCCTGCAGCTTGCTCCAGGAGGAGGATCCCAGTGTCCAGCTGTGTGTTCATTGCTCCAGGCCTCTCCCCATCTTCCTTTTCTGCCCCTATAGAGAGGGCTGAGCTGGGGAGAGCAGAGCTCAGCAGCAGCCCTAGAGCTCTGGCAACTGATGTGGGTTTCCTGCTGCTTCACCTTCTTCCTGCCCTCTCCTGCTGCTGTGCCCTCTGCGTGCCAGGCCCTACCCTACCCTGCCCTGACCCTGCTTGCATCTCTGCCGCCTGGCCAGAAGGCTCTTTAATTGCCGGTTTCTATGTCAACAGCTATGGAAACCTTTTTTAAGAGGCACTTCCAGCGGAAGGGCTCCCGGCGCGGCAGCAGCGCGGTGGCGGTGCCCACGGGCAAAGGCAGGCGGCGCTCCCAGGCGGGGCTGCCCTCGGCCTGGCTGGCGCGGCGCCGCAGGCCGGCCCCGCC